CACAGAATATGAAACCATCAACAAAAATATTCACATGTTCTATAATATTTACAGCAGCATTATTTACAATAGTTAGGACATGGAAGCAGCCTGAATCTCCTTCAATGGATGAGTGGATGTAAAAGGTGTTTCACAAACAAAACACAGAAAATGACATAGCCACAAGAAAGGATGAAATACAGTCATTTCCAACAAAATGGAGGGAATTTGAAAAAAAATTATATGCAGCAGAACAAGTCCGGTTGATTAAAAAAATCATTGGACATTCATATACCAGACAATTTGACAATGTAAAACACTTTCAAAAACTACTGAACATCAACAAATATCCTAAGGGCTCTGAGGTTAAGAGGGAGGAGGAGGGGAAGGGAACAAGGGAAGAAAGAGCTCATCTTCTTAAATAAGTGAGCAGGGTGCCATTGCGTGTCTGTACCACAACTTCTTTATTCATCCATCTGTCCATGGGCATTTAGGTTTATTTCTGTGTCGTCTTGGCTATTGTGAACAAGGTTGCTGTGAACATAGTTTTCAAGTTTAGTGTTTTCATATTCTTTGGATAATACCCAGTGGTATTGCTACATTATATGTTTATTTCTATTTTAAGTTTTTTAAGGAATCCTCATAGTGTTTCTCATGGAGGCTGGATCAGTCTCCATTCCCACCCACAGAGCGTGAGAGCTCCTTGTTCACATCCTTGCCAACATTTGTTGCTTCTAGTGTTTCCAATTATTGGTGTGAGGCAATAGCTCATCATGGAAGTGAATTTTAAGGAGCGATGCAGACTGCTGGAAGGGGGGCAATTTTCATTAGGCTTTCAAGTTTCAGAAATTGTTCATGGGCAATCCTCTCCTCTGCAATGAGTGCCTTGAAGAACTCACACAAGGCGAGTGATCCCAGGTTGGAAGCCACGATGCAGAACTATTTCCTTACTTATTGTTGATGAAATTGAGGCCCAGGCAGGGTACGTAAAACCTCAAAGTTATCAAATGAGTTATTGTTTGAAATGAGTATTGAATAGTGGGACATATGTCACCTGGGCTCACCAGCCACTGAGAGTTGACTGGGCAAGGAAATGAAGCAGCTCTGCAGCTTATGAAAGTTGAAACATCTTCCTGTCATTTTAAACTCTGAGTAGATGTTCTTCAGATGTAGCTCCTATTTCCTTAAAGGGTTGTGTCTGCTAAATCACCCTAGACCTAGAGCTGGTCCCCGTATCCCCGTTAAGTCTACTCATGTAAATGATTTGAGGGGGAAACAGGCCATAGAATGGGCAGTTCCTTCTCTTTCCTATTTTCGTCCCTGAATTCATCCTCTTGCTTCCAGATTGTGCCTCACTCCAAGGGCAGAAGAACCTAATTGATTTTTATCTGTGATTTCTGTCAGTGACCAGGTAGGGAAACTTTTCTTACTGGTTCCTCCCTCCCCACCTCAGTAGCTGGGGCCATAGGCAAACAGATATTGTTCTTCTGTACTTTACCCAATTGCAGGTGTGAGGGCCTAGGGCACAGGGAAAGACGTGAAGTGATTCCTCTCTTTAGAGTGTGAAGATTTGTTGGAAAAAGAAAAAAATTCCTCGTCCAAACTTGATTTCTATGCTTCCTTTCCAAAACATGGACCTTCGTATCTGACATTCCATTCAAGTTTATATCAAACCTGGTGTGAGTCAGCCCAGGCTATTGTACCAAAGTACCAGAGATTGAGTATCTTCAACAAGAGACATTTTCTCACAGTACTGGAGAGTCAAAGTCCAAGATCAAGGTACTGGCTAGGTAGGTTTCATTCTAATACCTCTTCTCTTTATTTTGTAGGTGCTGCCATCTTGCTGTATGATCACTTGACCTCATTGGTCTCATGTGGGAGGATAGAGAAAGGGGTGCAATGTCTCTGGTATCCCTTATATGGGCACTTGTTCTGTCATGAGGGCCCTTACCTGCATGACATAATTAAAAGACCCATCTCCAAGTACCATCACACTAGAAGTGAGGGCTTCAACATATAATTGGGAGGGAAAGCAAATATTCAGTCTATAACACCCACGGAAGAAGACTTTCTGACTTTCCAGATGAGAAGCCAAGTCTCAGATAAGTAAATATATTAGGCTGAATTAGTAAGAGAGAGAAGTGAAGGAGGGCCAGATCTGTGTGGTCTCCTGAGGGCAGGCAGCTCTCCTTCCTCCCACTGAGCCTAGAGCCTGCCTCGAAGCCAAAGCTGCTTTTTACACTTTCTTAAAAGGATGTAGTAGTTTAAAATATGTCCACAAGTTCTTTGCTACTCTACCCTTCAAAAGGTAAAATCTAATTTCTCCCCCCCTATAATTCCCTTTGAACAAATAGAATGTGATAGAATGACGGTGTGAGATTTCTGAGATTAGATTTAAATTTCACCATGACTTCCTCCTTGCTCTCCTTCTTGGGTCACTGACTCCAGGGAAGAATGCTGCTGTGTCATGGAGACATTCCAGAAACCCTACACAGAGGCCCACGTAGCGAGGAATCAAGTCACCTGCCAATAACCAGTGAGGAAATGAGGCAGCCAGTAGCTTCGTGAGCACAGAGTCTGGGGTTTTGGACTGTCCAACCCCAGTCAAGCCTTCAAGTGATTGCAGGCCCTACCTGTCATTTTGACTGTAACCTTATTAGAGATCCCGAACCCAAACCCTGGGTTTCATTCCCAGATTTCTGACCCACAGAAACAATGAGTTAACATATACTTATTGTTTTAAGCTGCAAAATTTTGGGAGTAGCAATAGATAATTAATACAAAGGGAAAAGCCTTTTATGTATTCTCAGTTTTCCATTCTCCCATCACCCAAGCTACCAAACCATGTTAACATTTCTGAGCATCAGTTTCCTCTTGTAGAAAATAACGTGGTATTTTAAAATAACATGTGGTATGCCCGGTGCACATGTGCTCAGCACTGGAGAGCTTCAAATAGGTGCTCAGTAAACTAGCTGTGAGCATCTTACCAGCTGTGTGACTTCTCTAGATTAATTTTATTGGCTTCAGATGCCCATTTCCTTTACACGAGGTGCCAACCTTGAACTTATGTTATTGTGTTTTGTATGGTGGCGAGCCCCAACTGTTTGAACTTCCAGCTGAGGGTCTTGTGGCTTCTCCATTTCAGTACAAAGAACCTCGAAGTAGAGAACCTACTCCTCGCTCTTCTTCTGTAAGCCTCCATTCTTAATCCGAACCTTTCATCTTAGAATTTTAGCTTTGATGCTGCCCACTTCCTTCCTATGGTTACTTTAACCGAAGTGAGTCAGGTCTTACTGAAAAACTGACCACAGTCAGTCAACTCCCACCCTCACCCCAGACCAGAGCTACCTGGGTAAAGTGTGGGGGGATCAGTGTTTACTCAGCTCATTCTTTCCCCCTGTCCTCCAAGTCACGGGACTTCGTGTAGGGCTTCCCCAGCCACCATGCCCCTCCCAACAGAGCATGTTAAGGTCAAGCTCACACTTGGAGGCTCAAAGGGGGAACGGGAGCGCCGGCAGCCTGCCTCCTTGGGCTGCCTATTACCTTGGCCAGTTCACTTACATGTTTTATTCTATTCGGTCTAGTCTGGTCTTAGCCTAAGGAGGATTTGGTGGGGATTTTTATTTTTATTTATTTTTAAAGATTTATTTATTTATGCATACAAGGGCTGGGGTGCAGACCAGAGGTATGGGGGTGAGAAGATTCACCAGAGACAAAGAGTGGGGAGCAGAACGGGCGGATTGTCTGAAATAAACTGCTGAGGGGAGCAGCGGGTGTGGCAGGAGAGGTCTGCTGTGCCTTGTGGGTCAGCTCCCTGGCTGGGGATTGAACTCATGCTGCAGTGGCTGCAGATAGCTTCATAGTGCTGAGACTTAACCCCTTGTGCCACCAGGGAGGTTTGGTGGGATTTTTAGCTGTGAATTCCAGCAACAACCAGTAGTGCGCACTGAGACCATCTCCTCATGCTGGGAGCTGGTGGGCGCTTTAATCCTCACCATAACCCAGCACATTTGTATCCACCCCTGGACCTCAAAGAAGCAAGAAACACACATAGGACACACACACACACACACACAGAAATTTTCTTTTTTTTTTTTTATAAGTATGGAATCTCATGTTTGTTCTTAAAAGTCAATATAATCTTGAAGGATTTAAGGAGAATTTCTCAAAGAATTGAGCTTAAGGTTAGACTAGGCGATCTTTGCTGTTGGTTTTTGAAATGAGAATAACTTTCACCCCTGATCAGATCTGGAACCTTTCCTGTCGCAGGCATGCAGAATTCATCCATCTACTCTCTTCTATCTTGGAAACTTTGAGGGAGCGATTTTCTTTAGCTAGAAGTCAAATGACATCACAACATGGTTTTATAAGACCCATTTATTTATTCAAAATTAAAATCTGCAATGAAGACAGACACACAATGTGACATTCCCAGAGGAATTGAATTACTTCTAGTTAAAACTGAGTTCTATTAGAACCAACTTTATGTTTTTATAAATAATAAACTGGCCACAGATTTTAGGAATGAAGTGTTTAGGCAATGAAGTCAGGGGAACCCCTGTGAGCAGCCAGAATAATAATTATCAAAGGGACTCCTTAGTTTATCTTCCTAAGAATCTCCTAATATGATAGGAGCCCCAGGCCCAGGGGCAAGAGAAATTAGAGGAAGGAAGGAAAAACAGCGATAAAGTGTGGTCAGGCTTGCAATGGAAGCTTTAGTTAGCTCCCCAAGGAACATTCTTTTCCTTATATAACTTAGAATTTCTTTTAAAATACTCAAACACCATAGGGTATCAACCTATGGAAACAGCTTAAACAGGTAAAAATAATAAATATTGAAAAATTATAATATTGGGCTTCTGCCTAAATAGTTCACAGAGAAGCTCAATAAATAAATAGAAATGGGAGTTGAGGTATCAGAAATAATAAATATTCTAGGAGAGAGGAGGTATGACAGGGCTTTCCAAGGAGCTGATTCAGAACCCTGGATCAGGGGTGTTTCATCCCTGATCAGGGGTATTTCAGATTTTCGTCTTCATTGTCATGTAGGCTTCTATGTAGTTGATGAAGATGTCAAACTCGCTCATGGCTTTGTTGACGCCTTTCTCTTGGAGCTGGGAAGAGAGGGAAAAAAGGTGAAAACTCCAAAGGGAACTTTGGATGGGTGTGGCCCTGGGGTGGACCCTCGCTCCCTGGTGTTGGGAGGCTAAAGACTGACCCTGAACCCAGCTTTGGGAAGGGCTGTGTGTTGACCTGATGTCTGGCTCCGGGTGGAAGAGGAACATCCCCTTTGCCAAGTACATTGCTTTTCAACAGTTTTAAAGGTCATGTGCTCACATGATGCTTATTCACAATTTGATGAAAAGACACGAGAGGAAGCTACTCTGAGAGCTCAACAGCGAGAGAAGGGTGCGTTTTCAGGGTTGTGCCCCCCCCACCATCCTGGACCGGGTCCTGCGCTGCTGGACCCCCACCAGGTGCGTGCCCCAGGCGCTGGGCTTCTGCCCCATACATCCAGCCCACAGAGGGGACAGAGGAAACATGACTTCTGGGAACCAGAGTTGGCAAGATTTGTTGGAAGTGTGAAACCCCATTTGTTTTAAGAGCTAACATTCTCAGAGAGAATGTGCCAGAGAGAGTAGGGACCAATTCCAGAAAATGAGGCTTCTGCTCCTTGCTCTGAGTTTTGGGGCGTCTGGCTGAAGCCTGGGTGTATTTGTATGTGCGCACGCACGTGTCAGCTTCCTGCACGTGTGGGCTCAGCCTGGCTTCCCAACAAGCTACTTTCTGTTTCCTTTGTTACTCTCCCCAGCACCCAGCTCAGCCCGCTCCTAGGCTGCCTGGCTGAACCCGCAAGCCTGTGAAGGCTGCGCACAGTCATTTAGAAACCCCCAAAGACACTTCACAGAAGACAGATGTAACCAAAGCAACAGCTCCCGCTGCCTGAGGAGATCACACAACTTTCTGGGTTCTCACACTCCCTGAGTGAAGAAGGGGGCCGGTTAGCACCAACTTCTGCCCCTTGGGCTGTGGGCAGAAGTCATGTTCCCTGAAGCCACCCTGCCAGCAGCCAGGCTCACCTTACTGAAGGCTCTCTTCACCTGCTCCACTGCCTTGCTCTTATTTTCACAGGGCAGAAATCGATGCTGTGGGGGGAAAGAGAAAATGTTGGTGACACCAACTCCCAGATCCAAGTTCATAGGACTAGGGGACAAGCTGGTAGCAAAGCAGCTCCTGGGGAGACCAAGGCCCCCCTCACTGTTCCTCATGGGACAGAGAAGCAGCAACCGTGGGAGGCACTTGGGAGGTTTCCTGGGCTTGGATGAAAGCCGGGTCTTGGAGTCCCCTCCCTCTCAATACCACAGCACTTGCTAGAGGTGCAGAGCCCTCTGCTCTACCTCTGCATCTGTCGCTGCCCACTCCTTCCGTCCAGCTAGGGGCCCATTTCTAACTGCCCGGGGACTAGAGATAGTTTCAGCCGTGAGCACCAACAGAGACAAACTTGATTTCCCAGTGTTAGTGAGAGAATAAGGGGAACCAGCAATGAGGCTATTATTTCAGTTGGAGAGATAAGTTATCTGGGGGTCTATCCCCAGACACTACCCTGGAGTGAGTTGCCCCAGCCCTTTTCATATAAGAAGGAGACTGCCCATCAGCTGGGCCCCAGGTGGGGTTCTGCTGTTAGGAGACTGAGAATAAGAGGTTACCCGGGTTTGCTCTCCCAAGAACCTCACTCCGGCCCTTGGCTGAGCCCTCACCTAGGCCCACAGGGACCAGGAGGCTCTGATGGCAGATTTGGGCCCCTTTCATGCAGAGAGGGGGAATAGTTAATAACCCACAAGTGACTCACAAATAACAGGAAAGCTGTTTGCAAATCTTCACATGTAAATGCCTAACAGCTTCCCCCACCTCCTGCTCAGAAAGAAATGAGCAAGAGATGGAGCTCCAGATGGAACTGTCTCTGGCCACAGTCAGCGCTATGCCTCGGGCGTGAGTAGAGGCAGGAGATGGTGTTTTCTGGGAGAGCAGAGGGAGGGGAGGCCACTCACACAGCGTCGCAGCCTCAGCCTGAGGGTCTTCAGCTTCTCCCCCAGGAAGTTCACGTGTTCCTTGATGTCTGGGCTGTGGTTCTCAGCCTGGGGCATCACCTCTTCCAAGTAAAACTGGATCATCTCAGACAAGGCTTGGCAACCCAGGTAACCCTAAGGGCAGGAAGCACGGGAGGGGGGCGTGATTGGGAGGAAGGGCTGTCAGCATCAGAAGCCAGCTTTGTCTTGGGGATCTTCCCTAACCAGCTGCCTCCCCCAGAACTGACCCCTGTGGGGTACACGCCTTGTGCTGAGTTAAGGTCTTCCCACTTCTCCTTTTCAAAGCGAAGGAAGCAGAGCAAGCTCCCTGCAGGCACGCAGCGGTGGCTGCCTATCTTAGTCACGACGCACCCCCAGGCGGCTCTCACCTTAAAGTCCTCCAGCAGGGACCCGTTCAGCAGCATACTGTCCAGCTGGTCCTTCATTTGCTGCAAGAAGAACAAAAGGAGAATGAACTTGAGGTTGGGGAAACACCTGATTTGAATGCCTTTCTGATATCCTTTTAATTAGAGAGTTTTTGATGTTTTCACTCAAAGCAGCACTGGCCTGAAAATGGAAAGGAAGGTTTTCAAACAGGACATTTAATGGTCCTATAACTGTTAGTTAAATCAGGTCATCTCTCTCAGGATCAAATTATTTTATAAATCTGGCCCAATTTGAAGCCAGGGCAGAGCTTGGCTCTGGCTCGGTCTTCTTGCAAGGTAATACTAGGCTGCCCGTGCCAACTGCAGTGCCCGCATCCCCCCTCCTGTGCGTCTTCCCTTTGCTTTTCTTGCTCCCTGTGCTTCAACTTTGGAAGGTGTCTGGGAAAGAAACTCCTCCTAAGGAAGGCATCCCCAATGCGAGGTGCATCTGGGTCCCAGAAGCCCTCTTAGCAGGGTCTGGGGAACAACCTCTCTTCCATTCACACCTCTCTCTTAGCTGAGGAAAAATTGGGCTCCAGGGAAATCTGAGAGGTTTCTGAGCACAGGAGACACCGTGCATTTCCATTTAAAGCAGATTTTCTTGCACATCTGCTACATGAAGTAATGGGGATTGGACCCCATATCTTGACCTGAGACTCTTAAGGATTCCAGTTGGGGAAGATTGAGTGTTAGGGATGGAGAGGAAGAAGACAGGGTTTTTAGAACTCGAGCAGAATGCCTAGTTTGGGTAGCCGCAGGAAGCAAGGAAGGACAGGAGGCATCATACTCACAAAGAAAGTCTTCACTCTGTTGAAGGCAGATCGGAGCTCTCGGAGCATGTGGGGCAAGCCGGCTGGGAAGTGGGTGCAGCTGCTCTCAGACTGGCTGCGGTGGTCTGGGCTGGCCCCCACTCCAGCCAGGAAGACCAGGCAGCAGAGTAGTACTGAGCTGGGCATGGCGGAGGTCTGTCTTCTTCCAGTCGGCCCCGTGGTTTGCTTTTGCAAGAGCAAGCCCCTGATGTGTGGACCTTTACCTACTTCATCCCCCTTTTATATTGTGGGTTCACTGAATTGAGAGGCCCATTCATAAAAAGCCACAGTCACTAATTTCCTGGCAAAGGTTTTTTTCTAATTAAAGCTCCTCCCTTAGAGTTCCAACTTTGCATTCGTTGAAGATTTAAATTTTGCACTGTAAGCAAAGAGGATGGTTGAAAGACGAACGTCTGCATTATGGCTATTTATAGGATGAGCTACATCACTCTCCTTTTAAAAATAATTTTTCAGTTTCTCTTAATAAAAAAAAAGTTGATTTCCTGGGGTTTACAGCTGTTCTGTGCAGAGGCTCAGAGTTGTGGGTTCCACTCGTGTGCTCTTAGGTCATAGTGACGTGGACAAACCTGCCGTTCCACAACATATTGGGATTGACAAATTATAGCAAGTTGCTAAATTGGGAAAGTCACTTTAGCACTCTCTGCCTTAGTTTCCCCAAATAAAAATGAGGATTTGAGCTATTTATCCTCTAAGTTTGCTGCTGGTTCCTTCATTTCATGTTCCAAGATTGCACTGAGAGGACAGACGGCTTCCCACAGGTAGGCCAGGCCATGGCTATGCTCCCGGCTCCTTCCTGAGCCCTGGGATTCTTCATCCTCAGGTCTGGGCTCCTGCCTCAGCCCTCCCCGTCCTCGGGGGAAGTCAGGAAGAGGAGTCCACACTTACTGACGCTCAGTGTCCATGACCTGCATTGTCTCCGTTCCACAGTGAGCAGCTGAAGCGCAGAGGTACACGGCAGGAGTCTGAGCCCAGGCCCTCCTTATGCTAATGACAAGTTCCTTGCCCCACTCTACACCCTCCCTGGAGGCCAGAATGAGAAGGCTGGGTTGGGGACCATAAGGGTTCTTTTAGCTGTAAGCTCCTGTGGCCGAGACTTAAATTTGAAAGATGGGGAGGAAGTAGAAATAGCAAAGAAAATGAGTCAAGAATCTATGCAGACTAGACAGCAGGTACCTTTCTTTCCTTTTGCCTGTTCCTTCTGCTTTTCCCCAAAGACGATTTAATCATCTTATTTTGGTTACACATATGAGTGGTTGTGTGCGTGTGTGTGTGTGTGTGTGTGTGTATGTATATGTGTGTGTGTGTATGTGTGCTATGGGGCTGAAGGGACAAGGATTCTTTTATACCACTATTCAGATATCTGGCAGGTCTCTGCTTTAACCCCTCTTCTACAGGGGCTCCTACTATAACCCCAGTGAAGACAGTATCTGGAAAGGTCACTGACCTGGAGTGGGAGAGCATGAGACCTGGGCTCTGTCTCTTTAAACCCAGGGCAGGTCTCTTGCTTGTTTTTCATCTGTCCCAAGGGGGCTACAGTACCTGCTTTGTATGGGGCGGGGCTTGGGAGTTAATAAGTGGGTCCAAATGCAGGATATTCCAGCCTTTCCCTCATTTTGTTGTGCTCCTGCAATATATATATATATATATATATATATATATATATATACACATTATATATATATACACACTATATATATACACACTGTATATATATACACACACTATATATATAATATATACATGCACACATACACACATACATACATACATACACACACTGTGGGTCAGGATCAGAGGGCTGTGGCCTCCTTCCAACCCTTTGGGAAGTATTAGTGTAGAACCCTAAGATTCATGAACCCTAAAGAGCCTTTTTGAAATAGGAAGACAGCTAACTTGGGAATTGTTCCTGCCAGGTCTATCTGTGCTTAGGGGGCTGTGTTTTGTCACCAGGAAGCAGAGAGAAGGGCTAGGAGCTGGCTTTGGCCCCCCTTCCACCCTTCTCCTGCCCTGATGTCTCCTGAGTTATCTGGGTTGCTCTAGCCTCTGAGCTGGGTTTGCCAGAAGTGGCCTCAGCACAGCAGACCAGTCAGGACCCGAGTGTTGAGCTAGGCCAGGAGGTCCTTCTTCCCAGGAGGCGTGGCCCTTCTTGCCTTTGTTTGCTGTTATAGTCTGTGGCTCCTCCTCTCCTGAGTCGACAGCCCCACATAACCATTACCCACGTAATGCTACATCTCTCCCCCAATTACTTGTGAGTGTCCTGAAGCAGGTGGTTATTTTATTATTTTTTCATGTACTGGTGCTGAGCACAGGATCTGACCCATGGGAGGTATCAGGTATGCAGTGTCCTCTTTTCTGTGTGGGGTGGCATAGCAGCGTCCCTGCCAGCCTGGCCGGGGCATGAAGGCAACAAGGTGGAGGAGACTGGCCTTGGCACAGAGGGCTGGGGAGGGCGACTCAGGAGCAGGCGGCATCTTCTTATCACTTGAAATATTTATGTAGATACACATGCATACAAACGCACAGAAGACAGCCAGGAGAAGGGAGATGGAAAAACCATTTCTATCTCTCTTTAATCGGCACTTTCTTATGTAGGTCAGCCTCTGACTTTGTATATACTTCAGAATGTATGACCAATTATCTCAAGCCATTGGTTGAACAGTTGATTATTTCTCATTAATTTGAAATCTTGAAATCTTTGTCCTTTCTCATCTCAAAATTTTCAAATCTAAATGGTCAGAGATAACCAAGGTGAGTTTCTTGATGCAGTTCTTTAATTAACAAATGGATGTTTTCCTCACCAGTATATCTCACAGGATTAACGTCAAGCTAATATAAGAGAATAGGGATGTATATTTTGGAATGAACACTCTGCTTTTACAAAACAACAAAGTCAACAAAGATGACTAATAATTCTTAAGGCTGTGAAGATACCTGCTCACCTGAAGTGTAGTTAGGATCTACTGGGAAAGGCCCAAGCTCATAGCTCATGTCTGAGACATAGATGCCAACAATCGACATGTTAGGAGATTGGGTGTCAGTTCGATGGCAGAGGACACTGCAGGGAAGGAGGCCAGAGAGCTGATACCTGTGGGTGAGGGGGGTGTCAGTCTGAGCACCCTTTGGTCCTGTGGATTTCCAAGGGACAAAATGCCATCGTCAGACTGAGCTCCTCGAGGGCCAGTAGCTTGAGTCCAATTTTCCCGGAAGTGCAGATGCAGAGCAGGTGTTTAATAAATGCGTATCCAATTAACTTTTAATAAGCTGCCAGAAAAAAAAAATCTCTGTCCAGAGAGCTAAGGAAGGGAAACCAGAAGGGAAAGGGAAATACCTGTCTTCTACCCCTGCTCCAGAATATTCACTAATTTCTGTATTAAGATGCAAAAGAAAGAAAAGGTGTCTAAGTATGACTAAAGATATAGATATGTCTCACCCAACAACAGGATTAGAGGTAGGGCAATCTAAGGCTAGAACAGTGCTGATGTACCTTCCAGAACCTACTTTTTCTGCCTTTTTGCTCTCCTATTCATTACTCCAAGATGTCAGGGGGAAGAGAGGTGGGTGAAGCCCAAGGTGCAAAGGCATGCCAGGCAAGTTATTTTGAAAAACTCCATTCAGTAAGTTTCACCACTTTAGGTGCAGCTACAAAGGAGTTAAGGCAAACTAAAAACTAATGGTGTGCGCATGCGCATGTGTGTGTGCGTGCGTGTGTGTGTGTGTGTGTGTAGATTTTGGAGGGTCTTATCTATCAGTCTTATAAGGAATCTCAGCTGGTCTCATGCTCGGCAAAATGGAAGACTTCTTGGCACAGTTGCTTTGTGCCTATGTCAGCCCCAAGGGCGGAGAACAGGCGCCCTGGGCGCTACAGGAGAGCTGGGAAGGGGTTGGTGGGCTCAAGAATCAGCTGGCAACGTTGTCACCCAGTGGGGAGTCGGCTGTGGATGCTGCAGGCAGAGAAGGCCAGGTGGATGGTTTCCTGCCAGGGAAGGGAGGTGAGTGTCCTCATGAGGACTCCCCTTGGATCTTGGCTTCCGTTGCCATTAGTAGTTAGAGTTTAAGGCTGTTAATAGGACTTTCATTTCTTCTTGCCTAGGACATCTAGTATCTACAATAGTTTCCCCAATTTGAAATTTCTAGTATCACCTTGAATAACCTTCCTCAACTCCCTGGGCAGAGGCTTCCTTAGTGATTCTGGTGCAAAAGGCAGGGTCAACAGCCCAGTGTATGGTATCACATCCCCAAGGATGGCTCATGGGGGCCCATGAGGATCCTGCAAACCACAGCGGAAGGGTGGCTCTGTGGACAACCAATGTGGAATTCCCCTTTGTGCAACTGGGGCGCCAAATCAAGCAGTTTGGATTTTCCTCAGGGGATGGACACTGTGATCTGTGACTTCTCATATGAGAAATTTGACTTATAGGGGCCAGGACAGCAGGTGCCGGGGCCCTTGCCACCCAGAGCTATGCCTGTTTTCAGCCTGTGCATGTCTAACTGGGTTGAGTGGGCTCCAGATCCTGGGGCACAAATGGACTTTTGCAGGTCCAGAGCCACCCTCTCATGGGATTTTGTTTCCTCAACTCTCTGGGTGGCTGACACCTCAAAAACAACATACCTGAGCAGGCCTGGCCTCGTGCCTTGCATGACTTGTGTGGTCGCACCGGGTCCATGCTGCAAAGGTCTGCCCTCGCTCTGCTGTTGCTGTCTTGAAGTTCTTAACGCTTTTGAATAAGGGGCCCCGCATTTTCGTTTTCCCTTGCACCCCAAATTTATGTAGTCAATTCTGTATATGAAACAAAATTTACTTCTTTCTCTGATCTCACCTTCATCCAGTGTTCCCTAACTCAGCAAATGGCACCATCATCTAACCATACAGGCTAGAAACCTAGAAATAATTTGTTGGTTCCTTCCTCTCTTTTGGCAACCTATCTCCAATCTATTACCAAGTCTGCTAGATTTTTCTGCACAAGCATTTTTCTGATATGCTTATTTATATTTTTTATCTGTCAGTAGCACAGCAACAATTGTCTGATTCAAGTTACCATCTTTTCTGTCCTGGGTCCCAAAATAAACATCTAATTGGTATGCCATTCTCTAAATTATTTTCTACTTTGTAGCCAGAATTGTTATTT